TCAATCACAAAAAAAGAAAAAATAAATTCCTAAAACATTCTAATTCAAAAGTTTGGTTTTTCAATTATCAATTAATGACTTTAAAACTAAATAAAATACGATTTCAATAGCAGACAAATTCACTTAATGATCAAAGAGCTAGGGAATCGGAGATAAGCGCTTTCGGTTCTAACACAATTATCGGGCAATTAGTTGCTCGGTTAAAGGACTTGAATCATTTCTCGTCCAGAGATTCACTCTCAATAACTCTTCATAACAAGAGAGTGAATGTAAACGATCAACTATCAATTCCAATAACACGTAGACAATACATTAACGAACAAGTCTATTCCAAACGAGCCTAGATCGACCGACGTCTCCCCTCTCGGTCCTAAACATCGATTAACTAGGTTAGAATGGTGATCAATTAACTAACCATATAATTCACAACTCGCATAGATTTGAACAATTAAAGGCACGCAATCAAACAAACCGAAACAAATCATCCCCTATCCCTAGCGAATGGATTTAGCTACTCATTACGAATTCAACATCACAATTCACATCAATCCCAAGCCATCATCCTCATAAACAAATTTGAGAAAAAGAACTTACGGTTAATGTAAAAATCCCAATGTCGAATCAAGTGCAATCCAAATCCAAAGCAAGAGAAGGAGTTTTTCAATCTCCAAATCCAATCCAAAGTGAAACTAGAGAAAGGAATGTGTTTGCTAGAGAGAAAAAAAACATAAAAAACAAAGTCTGGAATCGAATAGAATGCACTAAGTCCAAAAACCAATTAAAAATCCCACATCTCAATTTTCGCGTCGCGGGTCGCAACTTCCTCGCGAGTCGTACGTCGTCAGATTCTTCAAAATCTGGGGGAGTCGCGACATCTTCTTGCGAGTCGCAACTCAAGCTTGCGAACTGCACCATCGGCTCTGAAAAACTCGCGGGTCGCGACTCAAGTCGCGAGTCGCGAAAAATTCTGCGCTCTGTTTTCTCACTCCTTCAGTCTTCTTCGTCGTCTTCTGTGCTCGACATCGGATCTTCTCAATGATCATGGACATGGCTCGTGCAGTCCCAACCTCGACCGGCACAACCTACCTCCTGAAAACACAAACACGGAAAATAAAAACACGAAGCAAAACACGACAAAAAGACGCACAAATAGAAACTAAAGATAAAAAACACAAAACCAACAAAATGACCAACTACACTAAAAACC